CTGCGTGGGCACAGAGGGGGGGCGAGGGGGCGGGAGGGGCAGCGAGGGCTGGGTTTGTGGATTTTTTCTGCATATTGGAAATTCCCAGGCCGAGAAGGTACCGGCTCGCGTCCCGGACATTCCCCTCGAGGGCGGGCTCCAAGACCTGGCCTGGAACCACGCAGAGGAATCAGAAACAAATCTATCAAAACATTTTCCTTAGGGACGCCTTTTAAAAATATCTCAATGAATTCACTGTCAGGCATCAGCGTTGCCTCATTAGATTCACCTTATTTCAATTTTTTCTGTATGGCCTCTGAATGTGTGTGTGTTGGGGGGGGGGGGTGACTTTCTACAACACAGCTTTTTAAATATGGCAGTCAAAAAGTATGGCTATCCTGTGCCTTCACTGACAAATGAAAGGACAAGGAATCTGGGAAAAATAAAGTAGTGGTCCTGTAACATGCTGTGTTAAAATTCAGATAGATACATTTGGGTTCTTGACAAGACTACATATGGTGAGCCTTTACATATTCATATGTTATATGCCAGAGATTAGTCTGCTTCTGGGCACAATTGAAGGAAATAGCTATTACTGAGAGAGGTACAGGGAAATAAACATCCAAAGGAAACAACAAAAACAAGCTCTCCACCCGCCACCCCAATAAAAAACACAGGTGCTCAACATTATCTTTGTGGGTCTTGTTAGATTCAGCTTTATAATTAGGAAATGCCTGGTCCTCCAGTAGGAATGGGCATTTAGAGTTATATACCAGCAGGTACTTAAAACTTTAGCCCAACACAAGGTCCTTCTTCAAAGAAGCCTAACTTTCTCTCATTTCATGCAGAATACCTAAAAGCAAAATATAATACACTTAAGTTCACACTTTTTTGAAGTTAAAATGTAAGTGGGCTTTGAAGAAAAGGTTAGACTGCAGTTGGTGAGGTGCACCTTGTGCTTCTACCTTCTGTATCCTATAAAGCTCTGTCCTCAGAACCATCTTTTCTTCCACTCCCTGCCCCACTGCCCCAAGATTCGTAGGTGCCCCTAGCACTCAGGGACTGTGTCTCATTTCCAAAGAGAAAAGAGCACCCTGGAGGTCTTATTTATTGCACACTGAGGGTCAGGCATTCTAAGTGCACCGAGAAGGTACTGCAGACATAAACACTTGGGAGAATAATGCTTAGCACAAGAGAATAAATATAGTGAAAGTGGCATGAGTGACTGTTAAAAAGCTGAATCTACCAAGACCCACAAAGATAATGTTGAGCACCTGTGTTTTTTATGGGGGGGGGGGGCCTTGTTTTTGTTGTTTGCTTTGGATATTTATTTCCCTGTACCTCTCTCAGTAATAGCTATTTCCTTCAATATGGCCCAGAAGCAGACTAATCTCTGGCATATAACATATGAATATGTAAAGGCTCACCATATGTAGTCTTGTCAAGAACCCAAATGTATCTATCTGAATTTTAACACAGTACCTGAAGCCAGGAACTGTCAGTCAATTGGTTTTTAATAAGAAGATGGCTGTTTAGAATGGTAAAATGGATCATATTGGAACACCAAAAGTCTTTTTTTATATATTTGCTAAAGAAAGGTTACTCTTAATAGGATGACATCTTTAAAATATAATTTGCATAGAAGCGTCTTATGGATTTTCCCTTTCACAAGTAGCACCAAATCAATCATTTGAATTCTAGAATATGAGGAGATCCACTAAATGATAGTCATGCTGTCTGGTTCCAAAATAAAAATCCATAATTTAACTCAATTAAATTGTATATAAACCACTGTTTTAATATTTTATTAGAAGCCTCAATGTCCAATCATAATGGCCAACTTGTATAAATAACATCATTAGCTGAACTTTTGGTAAGACTTTTATAATTAAATTATGAAGATTATTTAACATAGAAAAATATTTGTATGGTAAAAAACCAAAAATTACATATTCTGTGATTACTGCTATGTGGTTAAAAAAAAAAAACAACTGTAAGAAAATATACCTGAGTGGGGGAAATGGGGGGGGGGCAATGGGTGGATAAGAACACATATTCAGTACCTTAATCAATAAAGAATAAAAATTCCAAAAAAAGAAAATATACCAAAATGGTAATGGTCATTGCATTCAGATTATAGAATTATGGATTCTATGTGTAGATTTTCTTCCAGATTTTAAAAATTATGATTGTTGTACCTCGTGAATCACAGAAGGACGCCTCAAGAAGTCGAATTAAAGAGTCATGTTTATTGCAATCCGGGACTATGAGGGGTCATTCACAAATCTCATAGCAATAAGATGGTGGCAAAACCAGACTTATATAGGCAAAAATCACAAAGGTATTGATTACATCCCAGGGTTTGGAATGAGGCACCTGGCTCGCAAAAAAGCAGATTACAGAAGCAGAATTAAGCATGTTAATTACAGTTTCAGGGGTCACTGAATTGACAGAAACACCTTATGAATTGACAGAAACACCTTATCTAGAGCCCTCGGGTCTTGAGACCACTGGGTTGCCAGGAACTCATTATCTAGAGACATC